TTTGATTCTGTCGAAGTCATGTTTTGCTATAATAAGTTTAAGAATTTTTGTAGTGGTGATTAAAGACTAATTTGCTGCACAGTTAGTATTTTTATTTTTGACTAATTTTATTTTTAGACATAACGAAAGTCAAATTGGGGATGAATTTAGGATTACATTTAAAGTAATCTTGTGAAAATTGAATGGCAATATGAAAAAGGGAATTGAAACAGATACAGTATAATCTTTATGTGTTTTATAAATTCATGTCTGGCAGTAAAGCATACTTAGTCATTGGAAGTTGCTGATTATACTAAGATGAACTATGAATGCTTTTTTTTCTGGGTGGGGGGTGGGAGCGGGGATGAGGCCTCTTTGTGTTGCCCAGGCTGTTCTCAGACTTCTAGGTTCAAGCTATTTTCCTGCTTCAGCCTTCTGAGTAGTTGTGATTATAGGCATGCATCACTGTATATGGCTTAAATGGTTTTCAAATTGAGGTATAGTTCACATATTATACAATTCGACCTTTAATTTATTAACTTATTTATTTATTTAGAATGAGGTCTCACTATGTTGCCTAGGCTAGTCTTGAATTCCTAGGTTCAGGTGATTCTCCCCACTCAGTCTCCTAAGTAGCTGGGACTGCTGGCATGCATCATTGCTCCTGGCTTGGTTATCATTTGTAATGGAGACTTTTTAGATTTCTTTATTCCAGCCTCTCTTGCTCATCGATCTAAATAATCAAGAGGAAATCTGGCTCTAAAATACTTGCCCCTTTTCTACGTACCCACTTGTGTTAGAGGGTAACAGGACCAAATATAAACATGCAGTAATAGTAATAACTGTTTAGCACCATTACTTTGCCTCTGTTTTCAAGGTTAGGCTTGTTTTATTGTGGGGCAGTTAATTATTTCTTTCACTAGAGCTTCACTAATGGTCTGGTCACCGGCAGTACAACTTCTAGAATAAGAAAGTAGCTAGATGAAATTATGGCTGGGTGTGGTGGTTTACACCTGTAATCCCAGCACTGCAGGAGGCCAAGGCGGGTGGGTCACTTGAGGTCAGGAGTTCGAGACCATCCTGTCCAACATGGTGAAACCCCATCTCTACTAAAAATAGAAAAAATTAGCCAGAAATGCTCGCTTGAACCCAGGAGGCGGAGGTTGCTGTGAGCCGAGATCTGGCCACTGCACTACAGCCTGGGTGACAGAGCTAGACTCAAAAAAAAGAAAGAAAGAAATTCACTTGCTTTTGGAGCGTGAAAACGTTGAACAATTGGATATTTCTATGCCAATTTAATGGGAGTTTATGTATACACTTGTGCATATTTTTTAAAAGTGCATATTATGGATATCTTCAATTATGTGGAAAAAATAGTATAGTATAATGAACACTGGTATCCATTGTGCAGCTTTAACATTTATCAACATTTTGGGGATCTTGTGTGTCTGCATGTGTGTGAGGCTTTCGCATGTAAGTCTGAAGAAGACAAATGGTAAATTGATTGCTTTATCTCAAAATAGACTTGAACAATTTCCTTTTTGATTTTTTTTTTTCTTTTTTAAAACTTCATATCCCTTGGATGAGAAACAGAAATCTGTGATAGTAATATAATCCATAATTAGTTGTTTGTGTGTGAAGACACAACATTTTTTGGCAGAAGGAAGATTTGAACTCCTCTGTTCTTTAGAATGTGCTGTGTTGGAGTGGATGACCAAACATGAGTCATTTGCATTTTTATCATTAAAGAAAATCCAAATTCTATAGCAGTAGTTTGCTTATATGCTTCCTAGAACTATAGACCTAGTATAGATTTTAAGGTCATTGGTTAAGTCCTTCAAAGCTGCATATTTACAGGATAGTAGGTGACCGGGGAGAAGCAGAGAGAAAAGTCTGTTCAATTACACCTCATCTTTAATGTCACTCGCTTGTCAAGTAGGGCAGGGAATGTTTCTGAGAATATTAGTTAGCAGTTTCTCCCGTTCCATTGTCCCTTATAATACTTGTCATGCTCTTTCATGGATTATCTGGGATCTTGGCCACTCTAGAAAGTCTTTGGAAGCAGCTGCGCACAGTGGCTCAAGCCTGTAATTTCAGCACTTTGGGAGCTGAGGCAGAAGGTTTACTTGAGGCCAAGACTTTGAGACCAGCCTGGGCACCATAGGGAGACCTTGTCTCTATAGATAGATAGATAGATAGATAGATAGATAGATAAATAGCTGGTCATGGTGGCATATACCTGTAGTATATTGGAACTGAAGTATTGGGATTCTGTAAATAAGTCCATCTCAATATTGTTAGTACTGCTGCACCTAAATACTTCCTTATTGATAGCTGTTAGTTTTTTTTTTTTGAGACAGAGTCTCATTCTGTTTCCCAGGCTGGAGTACAGTGGTGTGATCTAGCCTCACTGCAACCTCTGCCTCCCGAGTTCAAGCAATTCTCCTGCCCCAGCCTCCCAAGTAGCTGGGACCACAGGTGTGCGCCACCATGCCTGGCTACTTTTTGTATTTTTGGTAGAGACGGGGTTTTACCGTGTTGGCCAGACTGGTCTTGAACTCCTGATCTCAGGTGATCCACTCGCCTTGGCCTCCCAAAGTGCTGGGATTAAAGGTTTAAGCCACCATGCCCGGCCTTCAGTCTTTTATATAAAATGGTGTAGTATTTGCATATAACTTACATGTATCCGTCCATATGTTTTAAATAATTTCTTCTAAAATTTCTTTGTAGACACAGGGTCTTGCTCTGTTGCCCAGGCTTGAGTACAGTGGCTTCGTAATAGCTCACTGTGGTCTCAAATTCTTGGGCTTAAGCTGATCTCCTACGTCAGTCTCCTGAGTAGCTAGGACTTACAGGTGCGTGCCACTACAACCTGCTAGTTTTTTAACTTTTTGAGTCTTGCTATGTTGCTTAGGCTGGTAAATCATCTCTAAATTACTTATAATATCTAGTACAGTGCCTTCACATCACTTTATTCACGTGGTGTATTAGTCTGTTCTCATGCTGCTAATAAAGACATACCTGAGACTGGGTAATGTATAAAGGAAAGAGAGGTTTAATAGACTCCCAGTTCCACGTGGTTGGAGAGGCCTCACAATAGTGGCGGAAGGCGAACAAGGGGCAGTCACGACTTAAATGGTAGCAGGCAACAGAGTTTGTGTAGGGGAACTCCCATTTATGAAACCATCAGATCTCATGAGACTTCTTCACTACCATGAGAACAGTATGGGGAAAACTTCCCCCATGATTCAGTTATCTCCACCTGGCCCGCCTTTTGATGTGGGGATTATTACAATTTAGGATGAGTTTTGGGTGGGGACACAGCCAAACCATGTCACATAGTGATACTTGGTGCATGGCAAATTCAAATTTTGCTTTTTAGAACATTGTGAAATTTTTTTTCCCAATTATTTTTTTATCTGTAATTCATTGAATTCCTGGATGTGAAACCCATGGATACAAAGGGCTGACTATATATGATTTAAGTTAAAATGTTTAAGCTTAAGTTATGGAATATAATTTTTCATTACTCATTATATACCCATTTTCATTACCCATTATCCATTATTGACGTATGTTCTGCTAAGTACTAATGGTGCAAACTTTTAATACCTACAGTAGCCGAGCAGATCACACAAAGGTTCCATTTCTATTGACTGTGTACAGAATGCATTTTGTAGACAGTTGCATTTGGTTCTAGTTGATTGTTGTCATGTAGTAACATGGGCCCAATGGTGTCAGACTTTTTGATTTTGTAGGAAAAAATTAGAAATTGAGATTTTAAAAAATAACATTTGATTTTTTTTTTTTTTTTTT